TATCTACCAAAGTAAACATCAGGATTTTGGTTGCTAACTCAGTAGCATATTTTGGCAATATGCTAGTTTTTGCTAGTTTTAGTTTTTGCCAAAAAAAAAAGTTCTAAGCACTAAGATCAAGTGAAGAGGAGTATGGACAAGGCAGATTTGCAAGAAACACTTGAATTAAAGTCATCATAGGAAGAAGTAAGGGGCATAGACAAAGCAAAAGACAGCAGTGTTTTCTTCTCTCATGCTATGCTTTGAGCATTCTACTGTCAGTGCTATTTCCAGCCATTTCTTGTTTAATTTCTAAATGCTGATCCATAAATGTAGCCTCCTTCTTTCTCAGTTCCATTACAAGACACTGTAATGTGTTGTGTATGTGTAATGTGTTTCTATGCATAAAAGACACAGATAGTCTTTTGGGAAAACATGACACATTTTAGCAATTTGATCTTCCTCATATGATTTATAGTCTCATCCCTTATGCTTAAAGTTTCTAACCTTTTTGACCATTTGTGCTATCTCTACCTCCTTGAAATTTGCTATAGTTCATTTTTTAAAAAATTGAGAGATAAAGAATATTCAGTGTAGTATTTTAATTGGAAGATCTCCTGTCTACTACCTTTTGGTTATTTCACAGTGAATAACATCATTGACAAACAATATTTGTGGAAGAAACATTACATAAGAGAAGTAAAAGGCACTTTCTACACTGTGTAAGGATAAAACAGCTAGCTGTAAGTAGGGTTCAGGTTATAGTGAAATTAATCTCTAATGTAATGAAAAAGAATTAACTTCATTTTTATTTAAGCTGACCCTTGATCATCTAAAAACATACTGTTTTAACAAATATTACATCGTGCTTTTAACTCTCCTTAAATTCTAGAGATAACATAATTCACCTACTTACAAGATTGCTAAATTATTGTATTTCCCTAGTTAACATATGAAGGAAAAAAATAACCGATAATAAGAATAATATGCATATCAGTATTTAAAGTGCTCAAGAACACCTGCATGGGTCCTCTGCGTCGGATCGCCAGGAATTCTACATCTACAAATACAGGCCAGTTGCAGGTGTGCTTATCAGTGACTCAAGAACTGTGAGCAGTGAGGCCAGTGATGAGATATTTCTCATATAGTAATCCATTCTTGGTAATATTCTGAACAACACAAAGCACAAAATTCCTTCAATTTACATGGTACCTGACTACTGGAAGATTCTGTTATATTAAAAAATCATGCCAGAATACTTTGTTAAACAAATGTAAATTCTAAGCCCATAATCATAAACAAGTTTTTCAACTACATGAATAGCCAGTGAAACATTTGAAAACCATGTACAGTGCAGAACAATTCTTCATGCTGTAACACCCTGCAAACTGAAGGATGTCCACCTCCCCAGCTTTCTCCCAATAAATGCCAACAGCTCCTCCCAATTGTCTTGACCTCCAAAAAATTTTCGTATAAATTTCCAAATTGCCCCAGAGGCCACTACCATGTCCATTAAGAACCACTGATTATGACTGAGCAAGGGCACTTTTTTGTAATAAAGAACTGAGATCCTGCACATTTATTTTGATACTGAATTGATTGTATGGCCTAGGAAACTGAATTTGCCCCAAAGGTGAATCATCCAGTAGGAGAAAGCCTGCCAGTCTAAAAAGATACAAAAATCAACCTGGGAAAACCCTCTATCTCCTCATTGTAGGAACAACTTAGATTAGGAAAATGGGAGTTTGAAGAGTAGAAGTTGAAAAGTAGAAAGACGTTCACATTCCCTAAAAAGAGGAGTTTTTGTGGTAGAGGAAAGACCAGGCCTGAGTATAAAACCATGTTTATCTCCTTCAAGTAACAGTTAGTGCTGACTGGACTAGTTTCCAAGTCACCTACATATCACTGCAGCCTGTTAATAAATGGCTGCTTTTTTAGTTAGCCTAAACCTCCTCTCTTTCTTTCCTCTCATGAATAGATGATATAATGGCCTTGTGTTCCCATCCTGACAGAAGAAGTTCCCTTAAAGTAGTATATTTTTTAATTACTAGAAAGCTGCTGTCCAAAGTTTCCATGCTATGGGTGGATATTCATACTAATTTGTGAATATTTTGATTGAACTTTGGCCTTGAATTCTCAAAAATGGTCTCCAAACATGTTCTTGAAATGTGTATACACAGCCCCAGATGGACATGCAAACTACCTAATTTCCAAATGCTATTTTTAAATTATTAAAAATCTACTTTCAGCAATTTAGAAAAAAAAAGCCATTTTTCTTTCTTTTTTTTTTTTTAAGAAAGCCATTTTTATAGAAGATATTTATGTTACCACTCCTTAGTTTAGGGAGAATTCTCCCTCCCCCACCTCATTCTCCATAATTCAGTTTCTAACCCACCTTGCTTATTACTTTACTCCTAGCAATTTCCCTTCTTCTGACAGAGCACACATTCTCATTATTTATTCTCTTAAATTGCAAGGGTAAATACTGAGAGCGAGTGCAGGTCCTCAGTTATCTCAGGGACTTTGGTCTTTTCAGCCCAAGACTAATCAAGCAGAGAGTCATCATAAGCTAAAACTAAAAAGCCTTTGTAATGACTTTATCACCAGGGAAATTTGTTCATCCTTCGGAAGGACTGTCACCAGGAAAGAAAAAAAAAATAAAGGAGTTAAAATTGCTTCAGACCATTGACTCCTTAGGTCCCTCTAGATTTATACATTGAATTGGTTTTCAAGGGGTGGGAGGAATTATGAGAGGAGTTCCCTAAGAAAGCTTACAAATTCATCATAGCCTTGGTAACACTAGTAAGTCTAAGTGTGATCACTACGGAGGAAATGCCAAATGAGCCTGGAAGCATGGGAAATGAGAAGGAAAAGAGACAATTAACACCTTTTTTTTTTTCCTATTGTGTTTGGGAATGGGTGTTTCCATGTAGTATGCATCTGAGAATAGTCAATACAATTGACTTAAAAATATTTTTTCATTATAAGTGCTACTAATAATTATTATTGAAATGAACCTAGACTTACAAGACTATAGGAACAGGACTGGTCATTTCATAAACCAATTTAGAAACTGGGCCCCCTTCTAAACATTGCCACGAAATATTATTTAAAGTAGGTATGTCTGAGCTTATCTAGAACTGCACAAACTTCTTTTGTATTTGGAGAATACAGATGACTCCAAATTCAAATGAAGTCTTTTTAAGACTGTTAGCTGAATAAATCAGTGAAAGTTATATACTGACAATAAATATGGGGATATTAAATATATTCTAAAGAACCTGAAATTTTACACACTTATTGATGCAGGCATGCATATATATAATTTTTTTTTCCCCAAGAATTCTACTAAGACAACAAAATCCAGTCAGGCACTTTAGGATTTGCCAGGATAAACCTACACTCATCTTTCTCCCCCTAACACTGAATTTTGCCCAAAATGAGTAAGCAAATGGAAAGATGACCTCATTTTTCAGTCTGAACACAGCAGTGTTGGGGGATATTTCTCAAGGATATGACTTCAGTACTAGGTCTTAGTTCCAAATGCAGGTTCATTAGGCCAATCTGCAGAAGACAGGAGGGTAGAGAGCATCCTTCTGAGGACACCTATTAAAAGAGGGGTTCTCTAGTAAGGCCAGCTCCCACAGCTAAGTCAAAGGCACAGAATATAGCTTTCTGCTCTCTGGTCGAGGCAGCCATAGCATCCTTATTGTTGTAACTCCCAGATTGTGATACTGTCACAAAACTGTTGCTAGGCAACAAATGTGGTTACCAGGACTCAGCGAATAGCTGAAGGGGAAAGCAAAGTGTTGCACCATTGTAGAGTAACCATAGCAATGACCTACTATTACAGACTAAAGAATTATCATTAACAATGTTAAAGTATCAGACAGAGGCCCCGAATCCAGAGACTTCCAGGCAGTGTCCCTCTGCATAATTGAGTGATCTAGGAAGAGATTTCAACCGTTTCAAAGCTATTCACTCATTATTTCTAGGGGGACAGTCTTTGTTGCTGTCATTTTTTTTTAATTTAAAAAGTGTTCCATTTATAAAGCTATTAGTAAAATGATGTGAGCTATCCCAAGGAGTCAAAAACAGATTAACGGCCTCATCTCTTCTTCTGTCTGCGTCAATGTTACTAGTTTTTTGGCCTGTCTCAAACTGAAGATTTTATTTAAAAAAAAAAATTTACATTAGCATGAAATTGAAGCCCACGGAAAAGAAGCTGTAGTAAAATAAAAGAGCTCCATAAACTGACCACTTAACCTTCATTTGGCGAGTCGCATTCCTCCTGACAACATAGGGGGGGCCTAGAGGCTGTTTTTAGTGACTGCCTTGAAACACTGGGGGGTTTTGTTTAGCTTCTGTAAAACTCTCCCCTAAGATCTGTTTAAAAAATAACAACAACAACAAAAAAACACGTAGGCTGCTGGGACACTAAACGTGTTTCCTTCTCTCGGGAAGCAAAGAACCTTGAGTGCTCCGCGGTGGGTGCAGCAGCGGCCGGGACGCCGAGCCGCGCCGGGGAGACCAATCCCCGCGCGCGCCGGGCCTGGGGGCGGTGGGTGGTTTTCCCCGGAGGGAGAGGGAGTGGCCCTTCCCCGCCCCGCGCCTCCATTGGCCCGCAGGGGGCTGAGGCCGTGCCTCGGGCGACCGCTGGGAGACTAACGGGCCGCGGCCGTGCATCAGTGGGGGGCCGGGGGTGGGGATCGTGCTGGGGGGCTCCGGCCCGAGACGGCGGAGTCTCGGGGTCGCGGGCCCGGGCGGGCGTCGCCGCGGAGTCGGCCTGCGAGCCCCCGGGGAGGGGGGGGGACCCACGTGAGCCCTCAGGTACAGGGTGGTCCCCAGGGGTCGCAGGCCGCGGAGAGGCGGGGGGGGTGCTGGGGGGTCGGGGGGGCCGCAGGCTCCGGGACCGACGACCGGCGGCCCCGTGTCCCCCCCCGCCCTTCCTCCCGCGCCGGCAGCGCGCGAGGCCACCGCGTAACCCCCCTACCCCTTCCCCTGTCTGTGCGTTTTTTCAGGCACCGACCGCCACGAGCTCACTTCCTGGAAGAGCTTCCCGTCTATTTTCAAATTCTTCACCGAAGCCTCCGAGGCCAAGAACAGCTCCCCCAAGCCGGCTCTGACGCGGCGCTCGCACCGAATAAAGCACGAAGAGCTGTAAGAGGAGAGCGAGAGCGAGGACGCGGAGGGGGGCGGGGGGGGGGCGAGGAAGCGCCCCCGGAGCCAGCGTCCGCCCGTCTCACCCCTCCACACACACACACACCCCGCTGGGCCTGGCGAGCCGGCTCCCAGCCCCTCATTAGATTGTTTTCCCCCTCGGGCCACAGGGCCGTGATACATATATATATAGACACATCTAAACGGCGTTCGGCATTATTTCTAGATGAGTGCAACTGTCAAAGCAATCCGGGTCCACCGGTCGCGCCGGAGCTTCCTACGGGCCGAGCTCGCGGCTCCGCGCCGCCCGCCAGCCCGCCGAAAGAGGCTGACGGCGCCCAGCCCGGCGCGGCCGGCGCGCCTCCGACCATCCCGACGGAGCCCGCGCGGGCGCTACGGGGCGAGCGGCGTCCGCGCGGTCCTACCGCCCGCCTCCGCGGCGCTCCCGCGCCTCCCCGCCGCTCCCGCGCCCCCCCCACCCCCCCAACACTTTACCCAGAATCATGTCCATTTTTTCCTTTCTCCGAACCCAAGCAAACTTTTTATTCTAGACCTAAAACTCCCATTTTCAATAGAATCTTTTTGTTCCCTCTCTCCGAACCCAAGCAAACTTTATTCTATACTTAAAAACTCCCATTTTCAATAGAATTTTCCCTAAGAACGTCTTACGTCTTTTTTTTTTAAAAGAAGTTATACCATTCCTCATCCAAAACCAAACTCAAACCCCCCAAAGCCAAGTTCAAATTCAGAACATGTATGCGGTGATGTACTGTGTTGTTTGGGGAGGGCAACTTGTGCGCTGCCTAACAATCTTTTTTTGAAACCAGAAGTGCACGCACACACCAAAAAGAAAAAAAGAAAAAAAAAACTTGGATAAAGTACCGAATCCACGTTATGGTGGAAAATCCTTGACAGTTGAATATGAGACTTATACAGGTCTCTAACTGCAGAAGAAAGTGTTTAAAGCAATGCATAATGATGAGCAAATCGTTTAAGTATATGGGTGAAAGGTTTCATTTTCAGTGAAATTTCCAACTTCATCATTAGAATTTACTTTCTAAAATACACAATGTGTATTGGGTAGCTTGTAATTTAGATAGCATAGTTAAGTCTTGTTTAAATCTTAATGTAGAGGAAGTTTGTTGTTCTTGTCGTTAATCCTAACTGGATTGATATGTTCTGAGTGTTGGGGGTGGAGGTTGTTAGGCCTTTTTAGGGAGATACTTTTTTATCCTCACCAGGAAAATGAACCTGCGTGCTCTTGAACCTTTTCCTTCTGAAGGACTTAGTGGAGCTAAGCTGATTCTTTTTAGTTTTCTGCTCCAACAGTGTGAAAGACTTTTCTCCTCCCAACCCAATGGTATAATTCGTAGTAGTCCACCTCCTCTGTAAGGTTTTGTCCTACAGTTTCAACATTTAAGTTTTTTAGTCCAGCTAAGATCTGGCCAACAACACTGTGAAATATGAGGTAAAATAAGTTAAGATTTTGCTGACTTTTAAATTCATATGTTAAATCTTAACATTATCAATTTTTTAATTGCTTGTAGAATTTAATTACCTAGTGAAGATTCTGTTTCTAATAAGTGAGAATCTGAATTTAATATTTTTCCATCCTTTTTTAAAGTATATTCAACAATATGCTTGCCTTATTTGAGGACATGATAAAATGTACCCAAAATGACTTAGGACTGTCTGACTCCTCAGAAAAATTAACTTTAAAAAAAAAACCTCATTGTTTTTATATTATGAATCGATTTCAGCAGGTTTTAAAACTGATAGTATCTGTGTGTGGTACACAAGTGCTTTAATTAGTTCTCATAATTTTAATGATGCTAAATTAAGGTGATATATCTTGAGTAGTCTTATATGAATATCTGTTGATGTTATTTTAGCAGAAGCAACATAGGTGGAAAAATCGAAACATCATTTTATCCAAGTCCTTGAAATGTATAACTCCAACAATGTCAAACATGTTGGTCTGCAATCTTTTCTGTTTTAGAAGCAATGGTGAACTGTGTTAGCTAATGGTACCTTCCATTGACAGGCTTTGAGATTTGATATGGATTGTATGTATTTTTCAAAGTGTTATAAATTGTGTGGTGTTTACAGTATCTGAAAATGTTCACAGGGAACTCATTTTATTGTTTTTTGTTTCATTTTTTAATCAGCACTCGTACAGTAGTCAGTTTGTGAAGCTTCTACAACTGAATTAGAGCAAATAGGCTCGGGTTATAAACCAAATCACTCCCATTCCTTCTCTTCAGTTTTCTCACCTCTCTCTTTAAAAACCTTTAGGGGTAACTGGAGTAAATCACTGTTTAATTGCCTTTAAAACTACTGGGTTGTTAGGCCTTATTTAACTATCTATAGAGAGCTATTTGCAAACTTCAGTTGTGTAAATATAGTTTCTACTTGTGGATCTAAGCTGGTGCCACCGGGGGAGAGCTAGGCAACCCACCCTAGACCTCCAGCTGATTATTGGTAAGATTCCTTGTAATGTGGAATTTTTTGTAACCTGTTGATTATAGGTTTCTTGATATAAATATAATACTATTGTATTCACCTCAATTTTCCCAGAATAACAACAGTCAATTGGTAGTAGCCCGCCTGCTTGAACGAGATAAGGGTTAACAAAGTTTCTGCTCCGATCTCCCACTCTGATTTCTTTAGACAAGTTTTCAGCAGAGTAGGGGTTTAAAGTTTGGAAGTGGGCTTTTATCTTTCTTTTTTTAATTATATAGTGAGTTCTTAGAGGAAGTGTAATGGGAAGCAGGGAGTTGCTGATAAATCTAAGGTTCAGAATAGTCCTGTTAAAACTTAAAAGCCAGATCCTGGCTTTGGAGCTTTCTAAAGGTACAAAACCTTTAACATACAACCATTAAAGGTTTTCATGGATATTTGAATGGGGAAGGAGGAGAAGTACTTGTAATAATTGTTCTTTTCTCAAGTTTCTACCTTGTGCTTCAACTTGGATTACATTATTGTTTATACCAAAAGAAAACTAAAGCACAGGAGTTTCCTATATATGATATATTTCTGTTTGCTATTTTAAAATAAAAAACAATTTTCCCAATATTCAGTGATGTATTCTTCTTGTTCAGAAGTTGATTTTATCACACACAGAGGTCAATAAAAGCAGAAATTTTAAAAGAATGATGGGACAGCATTTATCAATATTTTAAACCTTATAGCTGCTTATTCTTACTATTATTATTGCTGTAAAGTAATATCCTAACTTCAGTTGAGTCACTCTTTAAGTTGGAACTTTCACAAAGCTCATGTTTGTTTTTAAGACCTAAAATATCTCCTTAGCTACAAGGAAATTAGAACCTGTTGTTAAAGTATCATTTTATAAAATATACTTTACTATATATGGTAAACAAATGTGTTTTCCAGAAGCAGTCTGCTGAGATTAAATTGCTCCCAAATCCCTATATAGATCCTGGATGTATTATTACCTCTAATCTAAAAATATCCTGTTTACATGTATTTCACAGCTTTTCCTTCTTTAAAACCAGTAACTCCTTTGAGGGAGTGTGGATGACAAAATAATGTTTCCTGTATTATCAGTACTAATACATTAGAATTTTTCATTTTTCTCTGGATTACCTGGTGGGGGGGGGGGGTGGTTCCAATCCGGACACATGTGTGTCTCCTGTTGTAATCATGATTGTAACTGTAAACTGACAAGTTCCTTTCGGTGTCTGTAATCCTGGATCATTTCAGAAAGATTACTATTACAGAAAGTCTAAAATTTTCTCAAAAACTTTTCCTATGCCTCTATAGTGAAAAAAAAAAGTCTTTAAATAAATGTAAGATAGTCTCATTTTTGAAATATGGGTGGCAAAAAAGGATAATAGTGGTGGTTATTTCATGATTACTTATTAGGAGGTATAATAATATAAAATAAAAGACTCCAGGAGGTACCCCCTTTCAAAAATTGAATACTTTGCTTCCTTCCTTCCTTCCTTGTATAGTGTGACTGAGTGGGAGTCTCTTGAATTGTTCGTCTTCCTTTTATCTAATATTCTATTAATCTCCAAAAAGATCAGTTTGAGTCTGGGAAAGGGTTTTTAATCAACACTTCACAGAGCTTAAAGCTACCCTACCTAAAGCGTCAGCTTTGTTAGGCGGTTTTAGATTTGAAGCACTGCAACTGTCATGCACTGTACTAAAGTAAAGAATGTACACCAAGTGGAAGATGTTGAAAAGAGGAAAATAGCACAAAGTCGATTAACAGAGATTCGAGAACAGAATAGCCATCAAAGCATTCCAGCATTTATCTCAAAATCTATGTAGGGTTAAAAAAAAAAAAAGGCAACAATGATAGTTTTAAACCTCACACTTAGAAGGGATGAATGTTGATTTAATTGATTCATTTGGATCGATGTTTTTAAAGTTTCACACCACTGATCTTTCATGTAGTGATGTCTTTAGCAGTCAGTGGTCTGACATGAGCCTCCTCAGATTTCATCAGTGGAACTCTCTGTGACATCTGAAATTATGCAACAGCCTGCGCAATGGTAACTTTGGAATTGGGAGACCTTGATGCCAAAGAGCATGGTTACATTCAAGAACTCTTGTTAATTCTTAGCACAGAGGTTTTAGAGGAGTGGTAATTATAAATGAACCTTAAAGGTTAAAGTCACCAAATATTATGTAGTGGGCTTTAATTGCTAGATAGGAGAAAATCGTCCTGAAAGTTTGACCATTAAGTGGATATCATGCAGTGACCAGCCTTTTTCTTTTGAATGGAAAAAAGCTTGAAAATGGAAATTTGACTTAATCCATGAGGCCTTCCAGACAATTTTTCCCAGTCCTTTGCCTTGAGATTTGTTTTTTTAAAAAAACCTTTCACTATATTCTTTGTATTGTTGAGTTCTATTTGAAACAGACATGAAACATGTTTCTAGAGCGAAATCTAGAGAGGCCCTGCATTTTTCTTTCCAGATCATTCCACTTTTTCTTCCTTGGCTAATGTACCGGGTAATATGGGAGACTGTCATAGGTAAAATAATGTTGAACTGTACTTTGTAGCCAGCCTGCAGTACCAATACAAAGAATCTGAAATGAAAAGACAACCAACACCCCCACGAATGATATGTCTCTTTTTAAAGTTTACAATTTGAATAATGAACTTGGATAGAAACTTGGCAGGAAAACAAACCATGGCACCATCACATCACCAACCATTTTCACTTTTCTGTCCAATTTCAGAGTGCATGTGTTTGTGAGTATTTCACTAGATCAGTGACAGCTCTTTATTTGCATAATTATATGCTCTGGTCTGAAGAGAAAACTAACCCCCAAATTTCATGGGTCACCAAACTGCAACAATCAATGTTTTATCACGTATGCTAAGCAAAATCTAAGAAGCTATATGAAGTTTCTTGGGGAGTTTTTACTCCTCAGAAAATTAAAGAGTTTTCCTCTCCTGAATAGATTCAAAATCTTTCCAAGTTCTTTGTAACTGAATTCTGTTTGAAGGCAAAACTAGAGATTAACATGTAGATCTGGATCTTAAACTGACTAGCATTACTTCAAAGTGGCTTAAGAAGATCAGCATTTTTGGAACGCTAAACTTTTAAATTCTAAGTATTGCCCTTCATGCTATCAGGTAAAAAATTATTGGTCAAATTATGATGA